TTGTCAGTCATGCTCTACCTACAGACATGAATGAAAAAATAACCATATGCTCATGGATCAGAATATTTGGAATGCTTACTGAGATATGCAGAAGGTATGTGTGTTGCTGTAACATATAACGAAGATAATTTACGCATATTTGGTCAAATACAGTTTATAATCTATTGCAAGGAGTTGAATAATATATTCTTTCTTCTAACTATGTATCATACAATTGGTTATGATAAACATCTTTATAGCTATGAAATCCATAAAAAAACTGATTGGAAATTTATTTGTTACGATTTTATTTCATTCGTGCTTACTTATTGTAGAACTGGAACCAGAAATACATCTATATATATATATATATATATTACTTTTCGCTATACATTATAATAATTTTTTCAAATTAACTAATATAACCAGTAAGAATAAAGTACACTAAGAATAAATAATAATCCTTTTAAAAAACAGATTAAATAATCTGTACACAAGAGGAAATTTATATTAAAATTAATAAGATTTGCATCATACATATAATATATAATCCCTCTAACTTTAAGAATAATGTGTTTATAATATTTTCCTCTTAATCTTAAAGGAATCCTCTTGAGGCCATATATAAAAATAAAATCCTCTAAAATTTAAATGATTCCGCTTGTTCTGAAAATTTCTTTGGGGTGAATCGTTTGTTTCTTTTTTGGGAGATTCGTACGGACGACTTAGGTTAGAGGAACAGTTGATCGTGCAAAATTACATTCGTGCCGCGACCCGAGATCGTCGACCTGTCGGTAGTTTCGATACGGTCTCTCCGCAAGTTGCACGATGATGCACTATAAGAAACGTAAAGTGAGCTGGAAGGAGACGATAATGAAGCTGGCGGTCTATTCTCACGCGCTCGTGACGTCCATCAATCACTGTCACCGACACGCAGGCACACTCTGAACTAGGATTAACTTTTCAGGGACGGGCGGAAAATCTCACGCGCGCGCGGAAATTCTCCGACCGCACACACTTGATAAGTCCCAGCTTTCCCACGCGACAACTTTTTCTCTTTCCTCCCTCTCTCTCTGTCTCGTTTTTATTTTTTTCCGCAGGACATGGAATTCGGAAACCGATATTCGTCTAACTCGCCGGAAGGGCCGACGAACTCTCGTCTTTTTCGCGGACGGAAACGCGCCGTACCGTACGTTTCCGACGAGCGACGAGATCTTCGTGAAGCAAAATCAAGATATTGGAGCCAAAATCGGAATATTCCGACGCTTGTAACATCTAAAGAGTGGGAAAGAAAGAGAAAGACAAAGGAAAAGAGAGGGAGAGAGGGAGGGAGGGAGGGACGGACGATATCGTAAAGTAATAAAAATTCGAACTAAAAAATTAATGAAAATTCTGACCGGCTCGCGCGTGTATAAATATATAGCGTCGTTAAAAGATTAAACGTCACGTGTTTCGATATTAAAATTCATGCACGGCTATTTTTGCTGCCTCAGGAATTATTTCTTCGCGGTTACTCGTTATTATTCGATAAGCGCGCCGCTCGCCAGCGAGCGACCAGAATCTTGATATGACGGGATATATTTGAGCGCTCATTAAATACATATCTCGATATATAATTAAGTATTAACAGGGGAGGGGGGAGGGGGTATTCTCTAAAATATCAAACGGACACTCGCGGTAGATAGATACTTATGTACATATTCGTGACGGAGGGATCTCTCGACATCTTTTAAATATCCAAGAGCTTCCAAGAATATTCACTAAGATACATTAGTGCTGGTAGTAGCTGATATCCATTAAATATCTCGAAATGTCCGGGAATCAGCTGTGGAAAGTTCGCGTTCCGGCGTTCCCGTTGGATATCGCCGCAGGGATACCCGAGAATACGCCGCGGACGTTCATTACATCTCCAAGAATATCCACCGGATATCACCGTCGTGCGTTCCGATTGTGTGTTCCAACGTGGCCACGACGCGATGACGACTGTGTGTGTGTGTGTGTGTGTGTGTGTGTGTGAGTGTGTATGCGTGTGTGATCGAGCAAGTTGTACCTTTGACATTTTCCACGAAGCGTTCCGAACATCCGCCGCACCCAAGGCGTGTCGCGCGCAACGTGAAATTCGAGCGCAGCGCGCGCGAGAGAGAGAGAGCGGAAACATATATTTTATCAAATTCGATATGAGAAAAAGGGATCTAATCTTGTTTCTCTCGTAAGTTAATCTCTCGTATTTCCTCCTTCTCTTCGCGAGGACGCAGCAATCTCAAGCTCGCAATGTTCACGCACATATGGGCGAAGAAAGCGGCCCGCTCGCTTTCTTCGCCGCAGTCCCAAAAATCCGGGACGGGTTTCAGCTCCGGGAGCGGTCGTTGTGTTCATTCGATATCGGTGATCGACATGTCGAGACACTTGGAACGAGCATGATACCTCCACGCTGTCTTGACATTTAAAATATACGAGTATCAATTTTTCACGATCCGCCGCTCCGCCGATTCACGTGACATGACATTCGTATGAAAAATGT